CTCAGCCCCCAAATAAATACTTAGGATTACAGGGAAAGTCTACAGTATGTCGTGTAATAATTTTAAAACCGACATATTCATTGTTTGGCAAATATAAGGATTTTAGATAAATCAAAATAGTGGGCGTGGTCAATATTTTTCCTTTAAAACCCAACTCGGGGTATGACGAACGTTTGTACAAAAAATTATGCAAATCGGTCCAGCCGTTCTGAACTGATTCCATTACCAACGAAAAACAATTGATTTTTATATATAGATTGTATTCTGCTTGTTGAGCCCTTTCATTTGATACCCATATTGATGGGATTGATAAAACCTACGTTATCCGCCATTTTGTAACGGCCGCCATCTTTATAATGATAATGAATAAACATAATTGTATTGTCACCAAAATCCAAAGTGTATACAAAATTTCAGATTAATCGGTTGTCAGGAAGATGGTGAAATTTGAATTACTAAATTTGACCCAAGAATAAATAATAAACCAGTAAAGAAAGTCTAAAAGTCGGGCGGGGCCTACTTTATGATACCCTACACCACTTTGCTAATTTAGTAGAGCTCCACATAACAATTAAAAGTTTTTATGGGAGAATTCAATCATACACGCTATGATTATAATTATAATTTAAAGTTCAAAGGACTAAACATGCCGAAGCATTTGTATCTTTTAAATTCGGACTTGTATTGACCATTTGGTGCACAATTAATTTGAAATCGGATAAATATATATATATGGGAGCTATATCCAAATCTGAACCGATCTCGATAAAATTTGGCAAAGATATTTCTGAGCTGTATTTGATATATTTCCCTGAATATCGTTGTTACGGAGTGCATATTGCGGCTGTGGGTAACAAATACAACACATCGGATGAATAATATATATGGGAGCTATAGCTATATCTGAACCGATCTTCACCAAATTTGACATACTAGCTTCTAGACCCAATTCGGTCGTATGTGCCAAATTCCATCCCATTTGGACAAATATTAGACGTTTGGTGCACAATAAAAGGTAAATCGGCCGAAGTTATATATGGAAGCTATGTCCAAATCTGAACCGATCTCGATAAAATTTTGCAAATGTATTTCTGAGCTGTATTTAATATATTTCCCTAAATATTGTTGTTGCAGAGTGCATATTACGGCGGCGATGGACAAAAATAACAAATCGGATGAACAATATATATGGGAGCTATAGCTATATCTGAACCGATTTCGATCAAATTTGGCATACATATTTTCAGGCCTAATTTGGTTGTATGTGCAAAAGTCCATACAATTCGGGCTGATATTACACGTTTGGTGCACAATAAAAGGCAAATCGGACGAAGATATATATGGGAGCTATATCTAAATTTTGACCGATTATCTCCAATTTCAATAGGGTTCGTCCTTGGGCCAAACAAATGATCTGTGCAAAATTTCATCTGGATCGGGCAATAAATGCGACCTGTACTTTGTTTACAAAAATACATGGACAGACGGACAGACGGACGGACAGACGGACGGACGGACATGCATAAATCGACTCAGAATGTGATTCTATGCAGATCATCAAAAGGAACTATGGGTCTATCTCGTTTCCTTTTGCCTGTTACAAACAAATGCACAAAGACATAATACCCTGACCACCTTGTGGTGTAGGGTATAAAAAAACGGGGTGAGCTGAACCTTTTAAAAAACACTACAAATGTGCATTACACTTCAAAAGTCAAAATGGACATTTTCAAATTTCACATTTTACGCGATTTTTTTTTTTGATTGTATCCTTTTTTGCGACGATAGAACTCCAAATTTGTGTGTATCGTTAAAATCAGATCAGCGGTTCGATCAGTTATAAGCGTAGTAACTAACACAACTTTATTTTATATAGAATTTAACAAACACATTTTTAGACATATTCCATCACATATTCCAAATTTCATTGAAATGTGGCGTACACAGCGTGTTTAATGCATCAAATACTTGAAATCAGCCGAAGAAATATATGTGGGAGCTATATCCAAATCTAAACCGATTTCAATATAATTTGACAAATGTATATTCGTTTTAATTTCCGTTACACATTCCAAATTTTATTGAAATTAGAGATACATAACGTGTTTGGTGGCATGAAATCGACCGAAAATATATATGGAAGCTACATCCAAATCTGAACCGATTTCAATATAATTTTGCAAGTATAATTTTGTTTGAAATTCCGTTGCTCATTCCAAATTTGGAGGCGGTATCTGTAATCGATCAATAGATATGTGCATATAAAATCTAAATTTTTGGGAGGTACCTCCGATTCTGATGCTATATCTCCAGATTCAAGTGTAATTTCAAAAATTTATATAGCCTATGTTACCTTCAGGCAATGTTGTAGTATACTTCGACATTTTCAGAAAAATCTGTTCAGCGGTTTTCGAGTCCATAAATTACAAACAAACATACAAACATTTTCCTCTTTTATAGATATAGAAGATAATCCAATTCCCGTCTGAGCTTTCACACACAAAAATAGATTCATGTCAAAATGAAATATGGCAAGAGTTTTTTTTTTATTGTTTTATTTATTTATCTATTTATTTATTTTTTATTTATTTATTTATTTTATTTATTTTATTTATTTATTTACTAGCTGGCCCGGTCCGCGTTGCCGGCCCGTAGTTTTTGTCTATTATGCATATTTGTCAAAGCATAATTATTCACAGATATGACTGATATAAGTGTTCCCGTACTGGTCGATTAAAAGTCTTTTAAAATACCTGTACCCATATTTAAGCCGTGGGCTTCAAAGGTGTGGATGTGCTATACAAATCTATTAAAAAGTATATATCAATCTTATCCCCATGTAAGGGATCAAATTAATTTTTAGTATGGTAAAAATCGTAGCAAAATCTTCCAGTGAAATGAGCAGTAATTTGGAATTTGCTGTATTTTGTACACCTCATAATTGAGCGCTGAATGAATTAAGAATAGCCAAAGTTAATTACTTTTTTAAGCCATTAGCACCTCAGATTGTCCATTAGCGTTCTTAACCTAACCATGTCGGTCTGTTTGTCCGCCAAAAAGTGGACTTAAGGCGGTACTATTATATGGAAAAAATTCTAAAATTTGTATATATGTTCATATTTTGTGTAAGATTTTCACACCCCAAATACACATTTTTAGCCAAATCCTTTGAAATATGGTAAAATCAGGAGATACTTTTACATGGGCACTACTCCGAGACATCGACCTACATTGAAAACATTCTTCTAGCCCTTATAATCCAATATGACAAATAGAGACCAAATCAAAAATTTAACAGAACAACATGGCATGTCAAACTGAAAAACATTCCGCGTGATTTAAATGAGTAAAAATAGTTTTATCCACCATATTATCATATAGATGTATTTCCCAAATCTACGTTTCCAACCAATATTCTCTTGAGAGTTACAAATTCAATAGAATACAAAATTTTCTTTTCTGACCACACATTATATGTGAAAGTGGACTTGGGGATACTCCAATGTGGGGACTTTACTTAAATAAATTCCTATGTGGCAATTATCTGTATGATGGTTCCCTAACCCCTTAGAGACAAAGATGCCAAATAAGGGCCAAAATATGAAAAAAGTGGCCAAGACCCCAAAAATAGCTTAAATCATATGATGGTTATCTATATATATAAATGTAAGTTGTGTTAGTTACTACGCTTATTACTTAAGAACCGCTGGACTGATTTTAAAGATCCACACAAATTCGGAGTTGTCTCTTCTCCGAAAAGGATAATATCCAAAAAAATCGCGTAAAAATGTGATATATTAACATTTTCATTTTGACTTTTCAAATAAATATAAAATCGGGTTGTACCCTTATCCGTGAGTTATGATCGATATCATGACCTGCAAAAGTGATTTAAGGTATCTTGAATGTTTGGGAAGAATTCCTGGAAGGATAGAAATCCTTTTCTTACTAAAAGTCCCATTCGCTCTATTATTTTGCACCCTTTAAATTTGGTATTTTACTGACTGTACTTCCAAAGAATTTTGCATTTTGAGCTCTCATTGGACGGATTATTGTCACATGAAAGAAGTAGGTCCACGCTTTGAAATGAGCTCCATTAGGCTTTTTCTGTCATTTTTGGTTGTTTAAATGTGTTCGCAAATACAAATTAAAAAAATGACAAAAGAAGAATAGCAAATTGAAAAAATCTTCAACTTGTTCGCTGATTTATTACAGCAAATGTTTAAAGACCCTTACTATTATTTTAAAATTCGATTCCACTGAAAATCTTTTCGATTTTTTCCCGATTTGAGAATTTTTGCAATGAGATCTCTTTTTCGTGATTTTTTAGCGAATTTGAAAAAGTAATTATCTTTTAATTAATAATTATCTTTCTTTTGGTGTGACCGCGTTAAATTATTTCGATATCATCTATTCCGTTTCGCCACCATATAATTCGGTATTACACTTCCATGTAACCCGCCATCAATTTCAGTTCTCAAGAAATCAAGTCAATTAAATAAATTGGTTTTAATATTCGAATTCAAAAACAAAAAATAAAAAACACTACAAATGTAAATTAGAAAAAAGCCAGTCAGAATAGAAAAAAATCATTCAAAATAAAACATTACTATTGTACATTTCAAAAGTCAAAATGAAAATGTTAATATATCACATTTTTACGCGATTTTTTTGGATATTATCCTTTTCGGAGAGGAGACAACTCCGAATTTGTGTGGATCTTTAAAATCAGTCCAGCGGTTCTTAAGTTATAAGCGTAGTAACTAACACAACTTACATTTATATATATAGATTTATTTTTTTTTTGAATCAAATTGACAAATTTTATAAACTACTTAAACTCTGATAAAATATTCGGCAAAATTGAAAAGCGACTTAGTCCCACAATTTCATGAAATTACTCGTGTTTCGAATAGAGCTAACAAACTATGCTAGATAGCATTAATTGACAATCGTAAAGCCCTAAAAAACTCATTTCACACATTTACATTTCATTACAGGTACACGATTGAAGACGAAAATGTCACTCTCTCCCTTGTAATAAAGGCGCACTACTGTAATTGGCAACAAACGCACCGAATTTGCCCACCATTAAGACCTGCAACCATTCAATGGCTTATACGACGTCGACCAAGGCGACCCTGAATTGACAAAACATCAGTGAGAGTGAGTGACATACAAAAGCCCAGAAAGCGAAATAAATAAACGCGCGCACGCGTACAAACCAAATAAATAGTGACGAAGGCCTGTGCAGTGAAAAGATCTATGGACTAAAATGGATTACAGTTATCGACTTTTATGGCTCTTTTGCATTTCATTTGGTAAGTGAACGTTGTCCGTTGAGCACAACCACTCATACATGTTATTCACCCACCTCATCACGTACAATTTAAGTGCTAACCATATGTACATATATGTGCGTCTGTATGTATGTACGAAGGTAGTACATACACAAGTAGGTATGTGTTTCTGCATATATGTATAAATATATACAAAATGTGTTGCATGGCACTAATGAACGCGATCTACTAACCTAAAAACATAAATCGAAGCGGACGAACGTTCCAATTTATAGTCAAACATGTACATAACTTTTTATGTGCAACTACGAAAAAGCACCAACACTTACAGAAGCCCCATTGGAAACTCTAATATTCATATTTTCACATTGACAAGTTCTTTTTAGAAAGGAACAAATATTAAATTTATAAAATGAAGACTACTTAGAAAGTACTGAGCCTCAATTCTTCTTCTATGAAAATGTGAAATGAAAACTTTTATAATGGAAAGAAATGTCAAATGAAAAAAAAAACTATTAAGGAAATGTTTTTCATTTCATATTTTCACAGAACAAGAATCCAGCCCCTGGTCGATGTTGCCGATAGGGGAAATCCAACATTCCATGGTATCTAACATTCCTCGCTTATTTTACTTTAATTCAATTTTTGTGTTTATATTGCGAAATTAGGTCTTTAAAAAACTATGATCCTCAACGTTGGAGGAACCGAAAGGTGCGAAATTATGCAATATTTATACCCTACACCACAAGGTGGTCAGGGTATTATGTCTTTGTGCATTTGTTTGTAACAGGCAAAAGGAAACGAGATAGACCCATAGTTCCTTTTGATGATCTGCATAGAATCACATTCTGAGTCGATTTATGCATGTCCGTCCGTCCGTCTGTCCGTCCGTCCGTCTGTCCGTCCGTCCGTCTGTCCGTCTGTCCGTCCGTCCGTCTGTCCGTCCGTCCGTCTGTCCGTCTGTCCATGCGGGCCAGCTAGTAAATAAATAAATAAAATAAATAAAATAAATAAATAAATAAAAAATAAATAAATAGATAAATAAATAAAACAATAAAAAAAAAACTCTTGCCATATTTCATTTTGACATGAATCTATTTTTGTGTGTGAAAGCTCAGACGGGAATTGGATTATCTTCTATATCTATAAAAGAGGAAAATGTTTGTATGTTTGTTTGTAATTTATGGACTCGAAAACCGCTGAACAGATTTTTCTGAAAATGTCGAAGTATACTACAACATTGCCTGAAGGTAACATAGGCTATATAAATTTTTGAAATTACACTTGAATCTGGAGATATAGCATCAGAATCGGAGGTACCTCCCAAAAATTTAGATTTTATATGCACATATCTATTGATCGATTACAGATACCGCCTCCAAATTTGGAATGAGCAACGGAATTTCAAACAAAATTATACTTGCAAAATTATATTGAAATCGGTTCAGATTTGGATGTAGCTTCCATATATATTTTCGGTCGATTTCATGCCACCAAACACGTTATGTATCTCTAATTTCAATAAAATTTGGAATGTGTAACGGAAATTAAAACGAATATACATTTGTCAAATTATATTGAAATCGGTTTAGATTTGGATATAGCTCCCACATATATTTCTTCGGCTGATTTCAAGTATTTGATGCATTAAACACGCTGTGTACGCCACATTTCAATGAAATTTGGAATATGTGATGGAATATGTCTAAAAATGTGTTTGTTAAATTCTATATAAAATAAAGTTGTGTTAGTTACTACGCTTATAACTGATCGAACCGCTGATCTGATTTTAACGATACACACAAATTTGGAGTTCTATCGTCGCAAAAAAGGATACAATCAAAAAAAAAAATCGCGTAAAATGTGAAATTTGAAAATGTCCATTTTGACTTTTGAAGTGTAATGCACATTTGTAGTGTTTTTTAAAAGGTTCAGCTCACCCCGTTTTTTTATACCCTACACCACAAGGTGGTCAGGGTATTATGTCTTTGTGCATTTGTTTGTAACAGGCAAAAGGAAACGAGATAGACCCATAGTTCCTTTTGATGATCTGCATAGAATCACATTCTGAGTCGATTTATGCATGTCCGTCCGTCCGTCTGTCCGTCCGTCCGTCTGTCCGTCTGTCCATGTATTTTTGTAAACAAAGTACAGGTCGCATTTATTGCCCGATCCAGATGAAATTTTGCACAGATCATTTGTTTGGCCCAAGGACGAACCCTATTGAAATTGGAGATAATCGGTCAAAATTTAGATATAGCTCCCATATATATCTTCGTCCGATTTGCCTTTTATTGTGCACCAAACGTGTAATATCAGCCCGAATTGTATGGACTTTTGCACATACAACCAAATTAGGCCTGAAAATATGTATGCCAAATTTGATCGAAATCGGTTCAGATATAGCTATAGCTCCCATATATATTGTTCATCCGATTTGTTATTTTTGTCCATCGCCGCCGTAATATGCACTCTGCAACAACAATATTTAGGGAAATATATTAAATACAGCTCAGAAATACATTTGCAAAATTTTATCGAGATCGGTTCAGATTTGGACATAGCTTCCATATATAACTTCGGCCGATTTACCTTTTATTGTGCACCAAACGTCTAATATTTGTCCAAATGGGATGGAATTTGGCACATACGACCGAATTGGGTCTAGAAGCTAGTATGTCAAATTTGGTGAAGATCGGTTCAGATATAGCTATAGCTCCCATATATATTATTCATCCGATGTGTTGTATTTGTTACCCACAGCCGCAATATGCACTCCGTAACAACGATATTCAGGGAAATATATCAAATACAGCTCAGAAATATCTTTGCCAAATTTTATCGAGATCGGTTCAGATTTGGATATAGCTCCCATATATATATATTTATCCGATTTCAAATTAATTGTGCACCAAATGGTCAATACAAGTCCGAATTTAAAAGATACAAATGCTTCGGCTTGTTTAGTCCTTTGAACTTTAAATTATAATTATAATCATAGCGTGTATGATTGAATTCTCCCATAAAAACTTTTAATTGTTATGTGGAGCTCTACTAAATTAGCAAAGTGGTGTAGGGTATCATAAAGTCGGCCCCGCCCGACTTTTAGACTTTCTTTACTGGTTTTTTCTTATGTTTTTGTGGCAGGGATATTTGAACTCGATCGAAGATAGATAGATATTTAAATAAAGCACGGTAATGCTGAACGTATAAAAGTACTTTGGGATAAGGAGCGATAATAATGCACATTCTGTTCGGTTCCCGCAAAAATGGATTAACAGTTTAGATCCGTGACACTACCAGTCGGCTTGGCAGACGAACTTGAACTGAAATCACAATATTTTTTGTAATTCTTTCAAATTGGTGTTATAAATATTATAAATTAAGTGTTTGTTTTCTCTTTCGAGACGAGCTTAATGATCTGAAATTTGCAGTGAAAAGGAAAGCCAGATAGACACTATCACACACTCACCACTATGCGACGCGTTTCGCCGTTGGTTAAGCGGCTCATCAGGCATATTTTGATGTGGATGATGGCTTACAAGGGCCGTTCTCTGGAAAGTAGTATATATTTCGAACTTATTGCAAATTAGCATATGCGAATTATACACTAGAAACTCTCCAGGTTCGACTCAAGTTCTATTGGCAGATCTTTTTCACAGCAACGTTTTGTTTTTGTAGTGATGGATTTTTTGTCCACAACAACTACATTGCTTCCAATGCATACACTTGTTTTAGTGCTGCTTTAGGAAGACGGGTTAATGGCTCTGAACGTAGAGACGGCAACTTCTAGTTGGCTGCACACAGAAGATCTGCCAATAGAACTTGAGTCGAACCTGGAGAGTTTCTAGTGTATAATATATATATATATATATATATATATATATATATATATATATATATATATATATATATATATATATATATATATAAATAAATAAATAAAATTTACAGGTCTCTTCATGTGTTTGAATCGAGTAATTTAAAGACGAAAGACCTTTTCCCCGAGTTTTCGCAGCATTCTCCTCACCAAAAGGTCTGAATTTCTTTGCCGCTTTGTGATATCAGCCTGTTTTAATTACGATGCTTTCAGAGTCGGAATCGCAAACTATTGCCGAAGGCCGTGTCTATATTTACATACCATTCGACTTTTTATTCTCATCCAGGCTCAGTACCACTGGATGACAACTCCTAAGCAGGAACCCGCCATACACCAAAACTTTTCTGCTCTAACTTCTTTACCCGCAGTAACTGAATCATCTTCTTGAGAGTGGACCATTACTCCGTGCGATACAAAAAATAATAATAATATATATAATAATAGTTAATGAAAGTAGAGCTAACACGTCTCTCAGAGTAGAGTGGGGGTGAAACTGCCAAGTTTATTTTTTTAATAATATTCGAGTTTAGATTTCTTGGAATCCACATTTTTTATTTAGATACATAACTGTATTAGTATTGCAAGCAAATTATACGTCAGTGGAGTCATTAATGTTTCATTTTATGTCCTTTTCTTCAAAAGAATTCAAAACATCCATCAAGAAATTTTGCTATAGGTCTACACCATGCTATAGAATACATCAAAATTCACACCAGTCCACTATGCACACCAATTTTCACTATAATTTCCATATAATTATCTTAGAAATTTCTATATTAAATGTTTCAAAATTGAGTAGAAATCTTTGAATAAACTACATTTTTTGGAGATAGAGTCGAAAGAAAAAATATTCCAAATTTAATTCCATTATGACTTTCTGAACAAAAGAGATCTACAAATTATATATTGCTCTACGACATGTAATCAAATTTGCCTTTTCAAAGAAAACAAAAAAAAATCACTTTGATGAAATGTCAACACTAACTCGCTCAAAAGAAGTAGCTTGCTCGATTCACATCGTTTTTCTAATATTTGTGGTAGTATACATTTGAAACATGCGTGGGAATTATAGGATTATATTCTAGAGAAATTAAAAATGTTATATAGGCATTCATATCCATATATTTGTCGAGGATTTGTAAATTTCACGATGACTGTCACTTCTGCAATGGAAACATTGGCAAAATAATAAAAAAAAAGTATCATTCGGTAAATCGACTATTTTCCATCTATTCTCTTCAGCACTCCGTGGAGAGTACAACCCGTACTTTATTCGTAATCCGAGAAACACGAATTTTATTAATCTTCTCTCGAGTAGACTTTGAAGGACAATTTATTTAAAGTTTGTCTTTAAAGATCAAAATCCCAGAATAAACCGCTGAAAAATGTTGTTTAATCTTCATAATATCTGTCATATGGATTCTGTACTCAAATGGAAAATTAACTGACAATTTACTGCAATGAATTTAATGGTAATTTGGCAATTCTACCAGGGTTATAGCAACCAAGGCGCGATATTACTAGTCTTCATGCTCGTCCTAGCTGCAGCAAAATGATACTTTGAAGCAGAATTCAATCTTTCTATAATCAAGTTCACATCCCTCATTGGTCTGATAAGATAATTTCGAGGAATTACAACATTTTTATACCCTTCACCATACTATGGAGGGTATATTAACTTTGTCATTCCGTTTGTAACTCCTCGAAATACTCATGTCAGACCCAACAAAGTATATACATATATTCTTGATCAGCGTAAAATTCTAAGTCGATTTAGCCATGTCCGTTTGTCTGTTGTAATCACGCTATCTTTGCAACGAGTTGAGATGGAAGGCTAAAATTTTGCACACATGTTTATTTTTATAGTAGGCAGGTTAAGTTCGTAAATGGGCCATGTAGGTCCACGTTTTCATATAGCCCCCATATAACGGTACCTCCCGATATTCGATATTTTGACGATTGTAGCGACATTATTCACCGGAATTGTTTTAAAATTTTGCATTTGAAGTTCGTAAGGATACTACAGCCTAAGACAGAAAATTATCTGCGCAAGTCCACGTCTTTGTATAGCCCCCATAAAACGGTACCTCCCTATATTCGGTATTTTAATGATTTTAACGACATTATTCACCGGAATAGTTTCAAATTTGGTATTTGAAGTTCGTAATGGGAACTACAGTCTGTGACAGAAAATTGTTAACGCAGGTCCAGTTCTTCGTATAGGCCCCATATATCTGTACCTCCCTATATTCGGTATTTTGACGAGTTTAGGTACAAAACCCACCGAAATTGTTTGAGATGTCGTATTTGAAGTTCGTAATGGATGCTACAGCCTGTGACAGAAAATTGTCTATGCTGGTCCAGGTGTTCGCACAGCTCCGATATAACGGTACCTTCCTATATACGATATTTTGATGATTTTCGCTACCCTTTATTTCAAGTTTTGAATTTGAATATGGTAATGGCTTATGACAAACAATGCCTATGTAGGTCCACGTCGTATAGACCCCAATATAACGGCTATATTCGGTGTTTTTAAAATTGTAACAGAATTTTTTAAGGATTTTATTTTTTGAGGGTAGAGGGTATTCAAAGTTCGGCCCGACCGACCTTACTGCTTTTTAACTTGTTTCTTGATAACACTGTATTTTTTGATATGTGCGCCATATCTAGAGGAACTTGTAAATTAAATGTTGGCAAAGAGGACACCCCAAATCAAAATTTGTTTATCGCATGATTGTATGAGATTAAGTTTCTGTGGTTGTGTACAATAAATATTACCCAAAAACGCAATGCTGGGGAAAAAATATATTTGAAAATTTTCAACTTTGACAGTGGGTCTAGTGATTATTTGAATTGAAGTATTCAAATAAAAAATTGAAACTTAATGACAAAATGTAAATATTTGTTTGTAGGTCAACCGAATTAAATACTTTTGGATTTTTAGTCCTGACACATTGTAGGCTATTACGTTTTTGCACCTAACACAACCATTTTGGTAAGAGCCAAAGCCAAAGCAAACATTTGTAGCATCTATTTCAAGCTTTGTTAAACTTGACTTGTTTTCTTGTCGAGCTAATTGTGCACTGGTTCAATTCGAAAATATTACTTAAAAATAAATCGTAGTTGTGTAGTCCTCACCAAAAAAAACTTAATCGAAATTTATCATCCACTTATAGCATTAAATCCATCCCTGGGGAATTTCGAAAGAAATACAATTAGCATTACTTTTTAATTGTTTACATGCTTCTTTTATCTTTTAGGCACAATTTTGTTCTCCTTCGTGTCACTCCAGGATATCGCAAGTCCGGTTTTTCAAAACCACAAAACGAAAGAATGGACAAACTTAGATAACATCACATTTTCATTCGATTGTACGAAGCGTCCAGTCGGATTCTATGCAGATATGGAATACAACTGTCAGGTAAAGAACATCGTACCCGCTTCTTTACTTCAAACTATTACATTATTGTATTCTTCCAGATATTTCACATGTGCGACGAAGAGGGAAACCGTATCCCACACCTATGTGCCAATGAAACATCATTCAATCAGGAATATCGGATTTGTGATTGGGATTACAATTTTAACTGCACGGAATCTCCTGTAAGTCGCCAATAAAACAAATATCGATTTCACCACTCCAATAACACATTCCGTTCCCATTTCAGAAATGGTTTTACTTGAATGAACTCACTTATGCCACAGAACCCCCGGACGAAGACGAGGACTATTAAAGGGCCGCGTTGCCTTGGCCTTTGATAACTCAATGAAAATGTGTTCCTGACGCAGTACCCAGCAAGGGATGGCCCAAAGTAATACTCCAACGGGGTGAATATCCAAATCTGTAAACAAGTGTAAAAAACTTAATAACCGTCAATATAAATTGATGTATGTATAAATGTTGTATGTATTTAATGTGTGTAAGTTTATTTTATTTTGCATAGCTTTTGTAAATTTGTCACTATCGTATTTCTGTCCACCTACAACTGTAAATCGAAACTCAACTGTTGTGTAGTGTAATAATACCTTTCATGCAAATGAAAATGTTGTTGATATTTTAGCCAATAAATAGTGTGTTGAAAATGTTGTAAATTTATTAAATATAAATTATTTGTTTTCTTTTATTTACAATTCAGATGGTTGGTAGTTCAAAATGTAGCCCCGAACTTTTAATAACCGATAAAATACTGAGTAACTAGTAAATGTATGCATTTTATTTTGGATTTACTCTTACCGTGTTACTGAATATATAATTTAAACTAGTTGGTCGGACCCGAGTTGCTGGCCCGTCGTTTACGTTTGTAATGATTATTTTTGATTTTTATTTTGATTTCTTAATTATACGACATTTTACATTTTTAAGGACCTGTACCTAGTTCGAAAATGATTCCTTGCAACTAAAGTCAATCTAAAAATGTTTGTAAACTTTTCCAACCATTTCTCAAAAAGTCACAATATTTAACATACATCAAAAAATATACACTTGTCGTACTCCTAAGATGTTTGTTATTGAAATTAATTTCCTTCTGCCAACAAAGTTCCCCGTCAACATTTCAAAGAACGAAGGACCGTCCCATTCAGAGAAATAAGAAGCAGAATAGAGAAAATCGTTTATAATCCGAATGGGTAATTATTGTGTCGTCTTTAGCCTCTTTAATCTTCTGGCTAACTGAAAAATAACTGCTGGTACTGTTTTGGAGAGTAAAGACATATCGTGCCTAATTATGTGAACATAGGGGCTATAAATTGTCAACCGGTCGATTCAGTTATTGTGAAGTTCCAAAGACACTTTTCCTAACCGAATCAACTGTAAAATAGTATATGTGACTCCCAGTGATACCAAACGATTCTTTGCTTTTTAAACAAACTGCATGTTATTTAATACTAGCTGGCCCGATACGCGTTGCCGGTCCGTACTTTTAGTCTTTAATGCTTATTATAACCTTCGCCTTGGAAAAGGGGGTATATTAACTTTGTCATTCCACATTATTTGACGTAGAGCGTCAAAATTTAGCAGAACAAATTGTATTGTGTCTAGAATGGTTGCTATTGAAAATGAGATATAACGGTACCTGCCGATATTCGACATTTTTAAGATTTTTGCCACATTTTTCCACGGATTCGTCTAAAAATTGATATGTGCAGTTCAAAATGGGTTCTAGCCCGGTGGCAGAATATTGAATATATAGTTCCACGTTTCCCTATAGCGCACATAAAACGATACCCACTGATATTGGAAATGTTGATAATCCTAGTCACATTTACAAACATAATTTTTTCAAATTTGGTATTTTAGAAGATTTGATAGATGAGAATCCTTGAAGTACAAAATAGTCCATAGAGGTTCCCGCTTTGGTATGGCCCCATATAACTGCCTCATTCACTTTATGGTTTTTTATAAGATTGCATTGTCCAAACGGTCTTACTGGTATATAAGGTTTAAAGTGAAACACGCTTGAATTCGGATGCTTTTATTTAAAAATCTTTCCTTTAGCCTAAGGTGGGGGGTATTAAAAGTTCGGCCCGGCCGAACTTAATTTTTTTACTTGGTTTTAAAGTAAGATGGGAGTTAATTGTTTTGTCATTGAAATTGTGCATTAGTGTAATTTAATGACGATTAAACAAATGTTCGGTTCCGTGTAATTTCTTTCATGTTTCTGCCACAATTTCTGACTGAATGAGTCCCAGTTTGACATTTCGGATAGCCACACATTGGTTAGGAAAGTGGACTTGGGTGTACACTAATGTGGGGATCATACATAAATAAATGCCTACGTGGACAATTATCTGTAAGATGATTCTATACCCCAGAATAGCCTAAATACAATTTTTTAGGCAAATCAACTGATGAATGTGTCAAAACGATGATGGGCTCTACTCCGAAAATTGTAGAGAAAGAAAGAAAGATGCCAAAAAGACCCCGAAAATAGCTTACATCATAAGATGGTTATACAAAACGTGGTCAGTTTTTGCAAGATTGGTTTCTTCCCAAATTACCAATATTTGCCGAAATAAATATGAAAAAAGGTTAAAATTTAAAATATACTTGAAATCGGGTTGTACCCTTATCCGGGTGTTATGACCCATATCATGATTCAAGGTATCGTGAAAGTTTAGGAAGAATTTCTGAAAGGATATATATCCTTTTCTTATTTCTATTTTGCGCCCTTTATATTCGATATTTCACTAATTGCAGTCCCAATGAATTTTGCATTTTGAGTTCTCATTGGACGAATCATTGTCATGTGAAAGAAGTAGGTAGGTCCACGTTTTGATTATTATGGTTTGTTTAAATGTGTTCGCATCTTCTAGCTGAAGCACGATGTAGATCCTGGAGTTGAAAGCTAAATTTCAATTTCATTCAGAATTCAAAACAATAAAAAATGTACACATCTAAAAAGTTGTTAAATTGAAAAAATTTCATGCCAAAAAGATTTTTTCATTCATATTTTTATTGGCATATGTTTACGCATTTTTTGCCAAGATACTATTCCGAAATTGTATGAATTTTGAAAATCCGTCAAAACTTTCTTGAGTTATAAGCTAGTATCTAATAAAAAAAAAACTGAAAAAAAATCTTCAACTTGTTTGCTGTTTTTTACGAAGTTTGGTACTTACTATATTGTTTTTAAATTTGATTCCATTGAAAAAACTTTCTCTATTTTTCCCCCGATTTTAGAATATTTGCAATGCGATATTTTTATATATTTTTTGATTTTTTCAGCGATTTCCAAAATAATTTTAGTTTTATTTAATTCTTTGGTTTCTCTTCTATTGAGCTTACGATCTCGTCACTTGATTAAAAAATGATTTTGTCATAGAAGTTATTTTTAAAATAACTTCTGGGGAGAATATCCCAGACCAAAAACAAGAGAACTGATGAGGGTTGGTGGCTCTTTCCGAAAACTAGGTATTCCCTGCCTTACCCCCTGGTAAACATTACCATCGTTCTCCACTAATAAACAAACGTTGTTTTTATAAAAAACAACAATAACGGGATTAAGCCTGACCATCTTGCAACAACAAAATACTATGGTATCCCGAACAAACAAGCTAACACTGTTCGATTTTAAAAAAGTAATTATCTTTTAACTATGGTTTGACCACGTTAAATTATTTTGACATCATCTATACAAGTCCGACAACCCATAATTGTCGTCGCTTTATACTCCCAAAAAGACTACACATCATATTAGAATAAAAAAAACACTACAAATGTACATTCGGAAATAGTAAGTTAAAATGAAAAAAAAACATGCAAAAGAAAACAATACTGTTGTACATAATAAAAAATGTGAAATCTTTCATTTCTACGCGATTTTTTTGCCAAGAGACAATTCCGAGTTTGTCTGAATTGTTAAAATCAGATCATATTAGTGATCTACTAACCGATTACTATTCATTTAGAATTTAAAAACCGCTATATTGGGTCTTGCACAGTGTAATTACTCCCTATTGCGCATAGTCCCCCGTATATTGGTACCAGCGATTTAAAGTATATTGAAGATTGTGGAAGAATTTTCAGGAGGATATAATTACTTTTCCTACTAAAGTTTCAATTTGATCTGCTATTTTGTTTAGTCCATATATTGCAGTGACGCTTTATATTCGGAATTTCATTGACATCCGTCCCAAAGAATTTTGCATTTTTACGGACGGATTATTACTATATGAAAGAAAAAGGTTTAGGAGTTCGCATCTTACAGTAGAAGCGCGATGTAGGTCCTGAGATGTTAATTCTTGTCATGAAAGATCAGTATTTAACATTATATTGTGCTCTATTTTCTTTTCCAATATCTTTCATTCAGAATTAAAAAATAACAACTTTTTTACGTGATTTTTTTTTTGGATTTTATCCTTTTCTGTCCTTCCGAATTGGCTATCATTTTGAAATTCGATTCATTTGAAAAATTTTTACCGATTTAAAACTTTCTCTTTTCTATCACAAATTTTGCGCAGTTTAGAGAAAAATATTTGAGATCCCTTGTATATGGTTAGGGCTATATAATGGGCCTTAAAAAGTTTGACCTGGGAACCCTAAACCCTTTCAGGGTTTTGATCTACTAAGCGAATACTATTCACTTAGAATTTCCCAACGCCCAGATTGTGTGTTTCACAATGCCATTACTCGCTATTGCGCAAACACTCCCGTTTAATGTACCTATGATTTAAATAACTTGAATTTTTCGGAGTATTTCATTTATTTTATTACTAAATTTTCGATTCGATGTACCATTTTGTATAGTCCGCATAATGAATTCCTCTTTTTATTCGTAATTTTACTGATTGTAGTCCCAATGAATTTGAATTTCGAGTTCTCATTAGGCATATTACTGCCAAAAATATATACATTACAAAAAAAATTAACTAACATTTTTATTGGCGTATCTTTACGCGATATTTTGGACTTTATCCTTTCCAGGGCAAGAGACCATTCCGAAATAGTGTGAATTGTCAAAATCAGGCCAGCCGTTCTTGAGTTAAAGGCTTGGTAACCATCACTTAATTTGTTCATATAAAAAACACGATTGAATTCAATATGATAAGTCAAAATGGAAAAACGTATATTATTCTTGAATTTGTTCGCGGATTTGTTACAGAAAATGTTTAAGGTCCTTACGAAGTTAGTCAATAGACTGGGCTATCATTCGATTCCATTGACAATTTTGCCTTGTCATTTTCCTTATTTCTCATCGATTTTAAAATAGTAATTATTCTATCACTTAGGTGTGACCGCGTTAAATTATTTCAACATAATCTATTCAGTTCGCCACTACAAAATTCAGTACTACAATGCAATTTCCATTCTTAAAATGTCGTCAATAAAGTGAATCAAATTGAAAAAACCGTTTGAACACGCCATGGTAGAAGAATATAGGTAGACGCGTCGACTCAGCTGCTGGGACAATGAACTGTCAAACCAATTTTGGAATTGAAAATGTTGAATGAAAAATTATGTAAAGTATTTAAAAAAATGTTGAAAAACTATAATAGCCTCCGAATGACGAAGTATAAGAAAACATATAAAAATCTACTTATATTTGAAAAAACATTTAAATTTTTTTGACATATCAATGCTTCCAAGCGTTGATGCATTTACCTGTATT